CAATGTTAAGTGTTGTACTGTGCCTTTGGCAAGGAACTAAAATATGGTCCCTGCTCTCAAAATACTTGCTAGTGGGAGAGACAGAGAAGTTCTAACAATTACAATATAATGTGTTAAGTAGTATGGCTGAAGGAAGCAAAAGGTGCCTTGAGAGCATAGAATAGGGATACCTGGTTAGTGAAGGGGTAGCTGGTTTGTCAGGGAAGGGTCTCTTAGCAAGGGAACACTGGAAGTGAGACTTAAAGGACACTTAGGAGTTTGCATTAAGGAAGAGATTGAAAAGCATTCTATATAGGAGGAACTGTGATGAGAAGGTCCAAGAATATTGAGAAGGTTTTGAGACATAAACAGTTCAAACTGACTAAAATGGCACCATGGTGGGATATGGCAGGAGTCCAAGCTAGAGTTTTAAGTCAAAATCTGTTTTTGGGTCGGGTGCAGTGACTCATGCCTGTAATCTCAGCACTTTGGGAAGCTAAGGTGGGCAGATCACCTGAGGTCAAGAGTTTGAGACCAGCCTGGCCAACATGGTGAAACCCCATCTCTACTGAAAATACCCAAAAAAATTTAGCCAGGCGTGGTGGTGGGCGCCTGTAATCCCAGCTACTCAGGAGGCAGAGGCAGGAGAATTGCTTGAACCCAAGAGGCAGAGGTTGCAGTGAGCTGAGATTACACCACTGCACTCCAGCCTGGGCAACAGAGTGAGACTCCATATCAAAAAAAAAAAAAAAAAAATTCCGTCTTTGGGCTGGGCGCAGTGGCTCATGCCTGTAATCCCAGCACTTTGGGAGGCCAAGCTGTGCAGATCACTTGAGGTCAGGAGATTGAGACCAGCCTGGCCAACATGGTGAAACCCTGTCTCTACTAAAAATATAAAACAATTTAGCTGGGCGTGGTGGCAGGTGCCTGTATTCCCAGCTACTTGGGAGGTTGAGGCAGGATAATTGCTTGTACCCGGGAGGCAGAGGTTGCAGTGAGCCAAGAGTGAGCCACTGCACTCGATCCTGGGCGACAGAGTGAGACTCTGTCTCCAAAAAATATAATCAATCAATCAATCAGTCCTTTTAGTTCCGTCCTAAGGAAATTGAACTTTATCCCAAAGAAGGGTAGTGTTTTAGTAGTTGGGCTGATTCATAAAACAGTCTCATACTCAAAGAGCCTTGATTGGTGGAGCTATGTCAACCTGGAGGGATGTCTCTAATGCTGAACTAGGAGCCTTGGCTGGACCCAATTCTATTCAATGTTTTATCCATAACATTAATGAAGATATGATCTGCTAAGCTAAAACAGATAGCCAGTGTAGAAGAGTCAAAGATCTTGACAGGCTGAAACATGAAAAAATTTTTTTAGATGGAGTCTCACTCTGTTGCCCAGGATAGAGTGCGGTGGCGTGATCTCAGCTCAATGCAACCTCTGCCTCCCGGGTTCAAGTGATTCTCCTGCCTCAGCCTCCCAAGCAGCTGGGACTATAGGCACACACCACCACGCCCAATTAATTTTTGTATTTTTAGTAGAGACAGGGTTTCATCATATTGGCCAGGCTGGTCTAGAACTCGTGACCTCGTGATCCACCCGCCTCGGCCTCCCGAAGTGCTGGGATTACAGGCATGAGCCATGGTGCCCTCCGGAAAGACATCTTACAAGATAAAATAGTCACACTATAAAAAGTATTGTGTTGAGCAAAATGGAGCTAGATGTCTTCTGAGATCCTTGTGCTTCTGGAATTCTATGACTATTTCCAAATGACATTGGTCTTCACCTTTTTATAGCTAGGTCTTCTAACTTCTGGAAGCTCAATTACTCTGCAATCTACATTAAGCTCCTAGTATACATGAAACATTGTAGATAGTCGAATGTGTTTTTCTCTTTTTTTCATTACTCTGTTTCTCTCTTCCTCCAGTCTGATTGAAAAATAAAGTAGAAGAATAAAAGTAAGCTGGTCAAGCCAGGTGCAGTGGCTTGCTCCTGTAATCCTAGCACTTTGGTGGACTGAGGAGGGGGGCGGATGGCTTGAGTCCAGGAGTTCAAGACCAGCTTGGCCACATAATGAAACCGTCTCTACAAAAAAATAGAAAAATTAGCCAGGTGTGGCGACGCACAACCATAGTCTCAGTTACTTGGGAGGCTGAAGTGGGAGGATCACCTGATCCCAGGAGGTTGAGGCTGTAGTGAGCCAAGATCGCTCGACTGCACTGCTGCTCTTTTCTTGAGAACTTGTTTCGAAAAGAAAAAAAAAGAGAGGCCAGGTATGGAGACTCATGACTGAAATCCCAGCACTTTGGGAGGCCTCAGCTGGGATTTCCCAGATGAGGTCAGGAGTTCGAGACCAGCCTGGCCAACATAGTGAAACCCTGTCTCTATTAAAAATACAAAAAATTAGCCAGGCATGGTGGTGGGTGCCTGTAATCCCACCTACTCAGGAGGCTGAGGCAGGAGAATTGCTTGACCCTGGCAGGCGGAGGTTGCAGTGAGCCAAGATTGCACCACTGCACTCCAGCCTGGGTGACAAAGTGAGATTCCGTCTCAAAAAAAAAAAAAAAAAAAAAAATTAGCCAAGTGTGGTGGTGCACGCCTATGGTCCCAGCTACTCAGGAGGCTGAGGTGGGAGGATTGCTTCAGCTTGGGAGGCAGAGGTTGCAGTGAGCTGAGATCATGCCACTGCACTCCAGCTTGGGCAACAGAGCGAGACTCTGTCTCAAAAAAAAAAAAAACCAAAAAAACTTTTATTGGCAAACATTACAGTGTTTCAATGATTATAAAGATTTTTGCTAAATTAATACAAGGGGGAGAGACTAGAGTCTAGGATGACTTTTAGGTTTCTGGCTTGAGCAACTCAAGGTGTTGGTGAACTGGAAAAGGAGAGAGGGTCTTGGAGAAAGTGTCAGCACTCATTATGTGACACTCCAGCCATCTCATTCAGGCTGGATGTGATTTTCTGTTTCTCCGTAGATCAAGATGGAGATACTGAATCTGCGTGTTGTTTCTCCATTAGTGAACAGAGGATCATAATTAGAGTTGGAAAGGATCTTTAAAATCACTTAGTTCATACCCACATCTTCCTCTCATTCATCCCTCCAACAAATGTTTGCATTGCCTTCACACTTTTCCTGTGAAATGATCATCCATGGAGATGAAATTGCTTACCCTCTCTCAATTTCCTCAATTGCAAAAGGCGAATAATATTATCTACCTCACAGGATTAAATCAGATAATATATATAAAGCATTTATTATAGTGCCTAGCAAGTGTTCAATAAATAAATCCCAAATATTAGCTTAAAAATGCCAGTGCAGTACAGTTTGCAACCCATTAATAGATTGTGAAATCAGTTTTAGTGTGCAGTGACAAGCAATTTTTTAAAGAGAAGTAGAAAACATGTAGTGTGTGTGTTATTATACAAAATATTTGTTTCCATGTAAATGTGGGTTTATGTTAAATATTTATATGTTTATATAGCATATAAATTTGTACACTTACACTTATTTTTTTTTTATTTTTATTTATTTATTTATTTTTTTAGACAGAGTCTCGCTTAGTCGCCCAGGCTGGAGTGCAGTGGGGCGATCTCGGCTCACTGCAAGCTCCGCCTCCCGGGTTCACGCCATTCTCCTGCCTCAGCCTCCTGAGTAGCTGGGACTACAGGCGCCCGCCGCCTCGTCCGGCTAATTTTTTGCATTTTTAGTAGAGACGGGGTTTCACCGTGTTAGCCAGGATGGTCTCAATCTCCTGACCTCGTGATCCGCCCGCCTCGGCCTCCCAAAGTGTTGGGATTACAGGCGTGAGCCATCGCGCCCGGCCTACACTTATTTTTGTATGTGGATATATACATATGTGTGTTCCGGGTCACAATGTGAAATGTATTACTCTGGGTCAGGTGGAATAAATTTTGAGAAGCATTGCAATACACAATTCTTTTCTTCCTTTGCTGATCTATGTTGAAAGCCGTATTTTTTTTTTGGAGACAGAGTCTTGCTCTGTCACCCAGGCTGGAGTGAGGTGGCATGATCTCTGCTCACTGAAACATCTGCTTCCCATGTTCAAGTGATTTTCCTGTCACAGCCTCCCAAGTAGCTGGGATTACAGGTGCCCGCCACCACGCGGGGGTAATTTATATATTTTTTGCAGAGTTGGGGGTTTAGTTATGTTGGTCAGGCTGGTCTCGAACTCCTGACCTCAGGTGATCCGCCCGCCTCGGCCTCCCAAAGCGCTGGGATTACAGGCGTGAGCCACTGCGCCCGGCTCAGACTTTATTTTTAAAGAGGTTATAAAGTACTATATCTTTGTAAAATATTTTTATTTCCAGCTCCTAGCACAGTATCTGGTAAACAGAAGATGCCAAATAAACGTTGATCGAACTAAGAACAAGAAATAGTATGAAGACACATAGACTAGCGGTTCTTCATATACAGACTAGTGGTTCTTTTCTGAGTGATCAGACTTTCTTTGAGAAGTTGTTGAAAGTTTTGGACCCTCTTCCTGGAAGAAGTGCCGAGCACTCAGTTCTCAATGAATTCCAGAGAATTCCTGAATCCCCGTGCATTACCCCTCTAAGGTTCTACGGGCCCCTCAAGTTAAGAACCTGAAAAGAAGGTGTTTAACTTCTGACAGCGTACGTGTGAGGTCAAGAGCGGAAGAAAGTTTGGGGTTAGATCGCTTTTAAAATTCTCCTACAAATTCTGGGATTCTAGAATTTTGGTTCTGGGAAGGCACAGGCAGAGATTTAAAGAGTACAGTTTGGTACCACTAGTGTCAAAGAATAGTGGGAACAATTTTAACATACGTCATGCCATTTGAATGCCATGGCAATCCTGTGATGATGAAATTGAAGTTCTGCGGGGCCCAGTGGCTTGTCTAAAAGGAAGGAGCCGGTACGCTCTGGAAAAGAGAGCCTACCAGAATCACATTCCTAAATTTTTGGCGAGGAAGTAGGGCAGGGCAAATAGAGTGGAGAAAGGGGCGGGACCGCGCACGCGCATAGTTGCATTGGCGCCGACATCTCTGCCCTTCCTCTCACAGCCGCCCTTCCTCTCACAGCCACCCTTCCTCTCAGACCAGTACGGTGGCCGACGGGAGTCAGACGCTGGGGATGAATGAAGGTGCTGGGTGCAGGTTGAAAAAGTCTCCCGCTTTTCCGTCCCTACAGTCCCGGTTCTGCCTTTGTGTGGTGCCCCCATCCTCCCCACTTCGTATCGACAATCCGGTTGGTCCCGGCGTCTGAGTTCTCGGTGCCCGAGTCGACTCGAGGCACAACTAGGGTTTGGGGTTCCGGATCATCGCCTAGGCCCAACTTCGGACCGCGCTCTCGGATTTCTGCCGCGTCCCGCCTCTAAGACGCGGAGTCCGTGTGGGGTTCCGTGAGGCTGGAGGGTAGATCTTAAGGTATGAAGCGTCCGCTTCTCAGACCTCAGCGCGTTCCTAGGTCCGTGTCGGAGCCTGGCCAGACTTTGCTCAGCCCGAGGGACTTGTTGGTTCTGGTTGCGCCCGGGGCGAGACGCAGGAGCACACAGGTCTTGGCGCCTCTGCTCCAATCTGCCCGCTCCTCTGTTAAAAGAGCAGCCCCTCCCTGAAAGCAAAGCAGTTTTTACCCACGACTTATACCCACGCTGCTGCTAGTCGGTCGGCCTTGAGAGGGGATGGCTTTGGCTACGTGCTCACTGCCTTTTTGTTTGTTTACTTTTTGTGTCTTTGATGATTCCTGGAGACAGAGAAGTGCTGTAGTGAGACGCGTCTTTCTCTCTCACAGCACCCACGCATCTGCTTTTTACCCAGTAACATAGGGGACATAGGATAGTGTTGTGGCCTCCAGAGCCTTGAATCTGATATTGCTTCTGCCCAGTGATTTGCTAGTTTTTCCACCGACTCATGGAGGTTGAGAAAGAGAAGCCCAATAGTTCTTTATGTCTATCGGGGTAGGCGTTTGAAACTATCGGGGTATGAAAGAAAGCACTTAACTATGACCGTTCACTTACTTTTATTTACATTTTGTGGAGCTCATATGACTGATATAGTGGAGAAAGTTTTGGACTGGGATTTTAGTAGATGAGGATTCAGCCTTGAATTGTGCCTCTAACTAGTAATCTACTTGGGGACTGTTACTTCATCTCTCTGACCTTCATATTCCTTCTTTGTAAAATATGAGTATTAGAGCAGAAGATTCCTGAGGCTGGAAGAGACATTAATATACTCTGTTTTCTTTCTCATTTTCCAGGTGACAGTAAAAACCTAGGGAGACAGAGAAGCCTTGTCTTGATTGTGCCAGGAACATTGCCAACATAGGGGCCTATTAAAGATAAACCACATTTTTCAGGGTTTTTAGAAAGTTGGGTGTTCATATATGTGGAAGTTAAACTCCTACTTTCATTTGTATTTTTACCATTAGGATCAACAAACAGTAATAATGACTGAATGTACAAGTCTTCAGTTTGTCAGCCCTTTTGCTTTTGAGGCAATGCAGAAGGTGGATGTTGTTCGCCTGGCATCTTTAAGCGATCCAGAATTAAGACTTCTCCTGCCCTGCTTGGTACGGATGGCACTTTGTGCACCTGCTGACCAGAGCCAAAGCTGGGCTCAGGATAAGAAACTCATCCTTCGCCTTCTCTCTGGAGTGGAAGCTGTCAACTCCATTGTTGCATTGTTGTCCGTGGACTTTCATGCTTTAGAACAAGATGCCAGCAAAGAACAGCAGCTTAGGTAATGTTATGTTATATTATATGTGGATTTGGATTTGACAAAGAATAGGGAATCAGATATTTTTCAGAGCTCTCCAGAAAACAGAGAACGAGAATCTAAACTCTGGAGAGAATTTTACTTAGGTCTTTTCTGTTTATAGTTACAATTCCAGAATCTTTTGACTTCCATGTTATAAAATGTTATCTAGAGAAATTTGGCAATGTGCTGTTGTATGTGGGCTAAACTCATTAGGCCAGTTACTTTCAGTGGGAAGTAGGTAGGGTAACTTCCCCTAGGTTAGAGGGATTTATTGGAATCACTTGGGAGGCCTTTTTTCTTTTTTCTTTTTTGAGACAGAGTTTTGCTCTTGTTGCCCAGGCTGGAATGCAATGGTGTGATCTCGGCTCACTGCAACCTCAGCCTCCTGGGTTCAAATGATCCTCCTGCCTTAGCCTCCCAAGTAGCTGGGATTACAGGCACCTGCCACCACACCCGGCTAATTTTTTGTATTTTTAGTAGAGACGGGGTTTTATCATGTTGTCCAGGCTGGTCTCGAACTCCTGACCTCAGGTGATCCACCTGCCTTGGTCTCTTAAAGTGCTGGGATTACAAGAGTGAGCCACTGGGCCTAGCCTCTTGAGAGACTTTTAAAGCTTAGATATTCCCAAAGATTCTGGGCAGATGCTATGTCCTTCCCGGCCCACTGTGAATCTGGTAGCAAGCCACCATTAGTGGAAGTGAGTGTTAATTGTCAGTTGTGGTGGAGTATTTATTTTTTATTTTTATGTTTATTTTTTTAGACGGAGTCTCGCCCTGTCGCCCAGGCTGGAGTGCAGTGGCATAATCTCGGCTCACTGCAACCTCCACCTCCTAGGTTCAAGCGATTCTTCTGTCTCAGTCTCCCAAGTAGCTGGGACTACAGGCATGTGCCACCACGCCTGGCTTTTTTGTATTATTAGTAGAGACGAGGTTTCACCATATTGGCCAGGCTGGTCACAAACTCCTGACCTTGTGATCCGCCCACCTCGGCCTCCCAAAGTGCTGGGATTACCAGCGTGAGCCACCGTGCCTGGCCTATGTGGTGTAGTATTTATTATACATAGGATGTGAATCCCTGAAATACATAGGCAAACTAAATAGCATTTCAGAAGCAACAGAACATTTTAGAACACTTTATACATCCTTTTGCAGCTTATTTCAATAAAAAATAATTTTTATGCAGTTATTTCCATATCAGTGTTTTCATAATTGTGTTGCATGTTTGTACTTCATTAGGCATAAACTTGGAGGAGGCAGTGGAGAGAGCATCCTGGTATCACAGCTTCAGCATGGACTGACGTTAGAGTTTGAACACAGTGATTCACCTCGTCGATTGCGTCTTGTGCTTAGTGAACTGTTGGCAATTATGAACAAGGTGCATTTCTTTTAACCACAGCTCAAAGTATGCATGATTTGATGTCTGTGTATAGGGAGGTAGACAGAAAAAGAGGCAAGAAGGCAGGCAGGTTGAATTCTCCTCTACTCTTATTTTGTTCTTTTTTTTGGAGACAGAGTTTTGTTCTTATTGCCCAGGCTGGAATGCAGTGGTGTGATCTCGGCTCACTGCAATCTCCACCTCCCGGATTCAAGCGGTTCTCCTGCGTCAGCTTCCTGAGTAGCTGGGATTACAGGTGCCCGCCACCATGCCCGGCTAATTTTTTGTATTTTCAGTAGAGATGGGGTTTCACCATGTTGGCCAGGCTGGCCAGGCTGGTCTTGAACTCCTGAACTCAGGTGATCCACCCGCCTCAGCCTCCCAAAGTGTTGGGATTACAGGCATGGGCCACTGTGCCCGGGCTTCTCTACTCTTATTTCTATGTATTTGTTTTCCTTTCAAAGGCTGAAAGGATATTATAAGTCTGCCTTAAAGGCCTTCTCTAATTATTATTTTCTCTCATTTATACTTGTTCTGCATTTTCTATCAGAGGGATTTTTTTTCTGTATGGAATCCATACACAGTGGCTTCTTGACATTTAGAAAGGGATTTATCTCAAGACTTGTATAGACTATCAAATTTATTACCAAATAATACCTTTATGAGATATAATTTCTCCCATAAAGTGTAATGAAGTAACATTTTGAATAACTGAATGTGAATAACTGAAAAATGTATGTGATTCATTTAGACACTGGATGAGCAGTAACAACCTCATATATGACAGTAGGGGGAAGTATCAATGCTGAATTGAATATAGGATGATTGGCTAGTCTCAATCACTAAATGACCAAAGTGCTTCTCTACACTAATGAAAGCTATTAAATTTATCTTCTTTGCAAAATTATAGATTACTTGGGTCGTAGATCTTTGGGTAATTATGGTTAATTGAAACTCTGAATTTAAAATTTTGAATGTCAAAGGTCTATCATATAAATAACTAAACTAGCTGGGCGTGGTGGCTCATGCCTGTAATCCCAGCACTTTGGGAGGCTGAGGTGGGTGGATCACCTGAGGTCGGGATTTCAAGACCATCCTGACTAACATGGAGAAACCCCGTTTCTACTAGAAAATACAAAATTTGCCAGGCATGGTGACGCATGCCTATAATCCCAGCTACTGGGGAGGCTGAGGCAGGAGAATTGCTTGAACCTGGGAGGTGGAGGTTGTGGTGAGCCGAGATTGCGCCATTACACTCTAGCCTGGGCAACAAGAGTGAAACTGCCTCAAAAACAATAACAACAAAAAACCAAAAACAAACAAAAACACTAAATTGGATCTTTATTTACTGTTATAATTTTGAGGAGTCAGTTAACTTGTGGTAAATAAAGTTTAGTTTTATAAATTGTGGACAAAAAGGACTAAATTCTGTTTCCATAGAAAATACTGGTAGAGGCCAGGCGCAGTGGCTCACGCCTGTAATCCCAGCACTTTGGGAGGCCGAGGTGGGCGGATCACGAGGTCAGGAGATTGAGACCATCCTGGCTAACACGATGAAACTCCTTGTCTACTGAAAAGATACAAAAAAAATTAGCCGGGCGTGGCGGCGGGCACCTGTAGTCCAGCTACTGGGGAGGCTGAGGCAGGAGAATGGCGCGAACCTGGGAGGTGGAGCTTGCAGTGAGTGAGCTCAGATCGCACCACTGCACTGCAGCCTGGGCGACAGAGCGAGACTCCATCTCAAAAAAAAAAAAGAAAAAATCCTGGTAGAGAGGATTTTTGTGAGTTTTAGATTTTTTTTAAGGTATGTTAAAATTTTTTCTAAAATTTCCATCATAAATTATAATTTCCTTCTCTTTTTTACTATTTTGATACTTTTATTTATTTATTTTTGTTTGTTTGTTTTTTCGAGATGGAGTTTCGCTCTTGTTGCCCAGGCTGGAGTGCAATGGCGTGATCTTACTCACTGCAACCTCCACCTCCCGGGTTCAAGCGATTCTCCTGCCTCAACCTCCCAAGTAGCTGGGACTACAGGTACCTGCCACCACGCCCGGATATTTTTTTGTATTTTTAGTAGAGACGGGGTTTCACCGTATTAGCCAGGATGGTCTCGATCTCCTGACCTTGTGATCTGCCCGCCTTGGCCTCCCAAAGTGCTGGGATTACAGGCGTGAGCCACTGCGCCTGGCCTAATTTTTGTATTTTTTAGTAGAGACGAGGTTTCACCTTGTTGGCCAGGCTGGTTTCGAGCTCCTGACCTCAGGTGATCCACCCGCCTCGGCCTCCCAAAGTGCTGGGATTACAGGCGTGAGCCACTGCGCCTGGCCTAATTTTTGTATTTTTAGTAGAGACAGGGTTTCACCGTGTTGACCAGGCTGGCCTCGAACTCCTGACCTCAGCTGATCCACCCATGTTGGCCTCCCAAAGTGCTGGGGTTACAAGCGTGAGCCACCACACCTGGCCATGAATTTATATTTGTTAAACTGCTTTAGGTTGACTGTTTTTGGCTTTTTTAAAGCAGTTTATGTAGGCTGCATTTGTAGTTCATTTCTTTGGCTTGCCTTATCCTTTAATTCCAGTTGTCTCCAAATATTTAGACAGAAATCAGTTCTTGAAATTGATATTGCTATATATGAATAATAATTAACATGACTGCTGTGTGTGGTTAAATTGGTTGAAATTGATTGAATACTTCATATTCTGCTGTGGTATATTAGTGATACATTAAGAGATAATCTGTGAGTTCAAGAAATAATTATAAAAATAGGGATTTAATTATCTGAAATTAATAAAGTTTATATATATATATTTTTTCTTTTTTAAGGTGTCTGAGTCCAATGGAGAATTTTTTTTCAAGTCTTCTGAACTTTTTGAGAGTCCAGTTTATTTGGAGGAAGCTGCAGATGTACTTTGTATTTTACAAGCAGGTACTGTACTGAGTGCTAAGATGTATTTCATATATAGTTTCTTGTTAAATGGTACTGTGTAACTTCTTAGCCTGGTATGCTATGTTATTTTAGGGATCATATAACAAATACCTTATATGAGTTTAAGTCAAAAGTGACTAATAGTTGGACAATGATTAAGTAAATTATATTATTTTCATAGTGTAACATGCAAACATTAACATGGTATCTTTGATTTAATGATTTTAAATGATTTTGGAAAATATTTACAATATGTTAAGTGAGAAAAGCAAAGGGCAAAGTGTTAAGTAGAATATAATCCCAGTTTTGTTAAAAGTTAAAGCAAGAACAATACCCTTGGTGAATTAAAATAAAATACTCGTTTTTTTTTAGAGACAGAGTTTTGCTCTGTTGCTCAGGCTGGAGTACGGTGGCAGGATCGTAGCCCACTGCAGCCTTGAATTCCCGGACTCAAGGGATCCTCCCACTTCAGCCTTCTGAATAACTGGGACTACAGGCCTGTGAAAACATTTTATATTAACTTTGAATGATGGGATTAGAGCGGATTTTAACTTTCTTCGGTGTACCTTTTTGTATTTTCCAGATTCTATATAATAGGTGTGAATGATAGAAATAAAAGAGGACAGAAAAATGTAAAGAAGGCTGTCACTCGTGCCTGTAATCCCAGCACTTTGGGAGGCCAAAGCAGGAGGATCACTTGAGCTCAGGAGTTCAAGACCAGCCTGGGCAACATAGTGAGACCTTGTCTCTACAAAAATGAAAAAAATTAGCCTGTTGTGGTGGTGTATACCTGTAGTCCCAGCTGTATGGGAAGCTGAGGCAGGAGGATGGCTTGAGCCTGGGAGATTGAGGCTGTAGTGAGCCATGATTGTGCCATTGCACTCTGTCCAGACTGAGACCTTGTCTTTTTTTTTGAGATGGAGTCTCACTCTGTCACCCAGGCTGGAGTGCAGTGATGTGGTCTTAGCTCACTGCAACCTCTGCCTCTGGGGTTCAAGTGATTCTCCTGCCTCAGCCTCCTGAGTAGCTGGGATTACAGGCATACGCCACCATGTCCAGCCAATTTTGTATTTTTAGTAGTGACAAGGTTTCACCATGTTGGCCAGGCTGGTCTCAAATTCTTAACCTTGTGATCTGCCCGCCTCAGCTTCCCAAAGTGCTGGGATTATAGGCATAAGCCACTGCACCTGGCAGAGACCTTTTCTTAAAAAAAAAAAAAAAAAAAAAAGAGGCTGGGTGTGGTGGCTCACACCTATAATCCCAGCACTTTGGGACGCCGAGGCAGGCGGATCATCTGAGGTTAGGAGTTCGAGACCAGCCTGGTCAACAGGGTGAAACCCCATCTCTACTAAAAATACAAAAATTAGCCAGGTGTGGTGGCAGGCACCTGTAATCGCAGCTACTCAGGAGGCTGAGGCAGGAGGATCACTTGAACTCCAGAGGCGGAGGTTGCAGTGAGCCGAGATTGTGCCATTGCACTCCAGCCTGGGGGACAAGAGCAAGACTTCATTGCAAAAAAAAAAAAAAAGTAAATTAAGATTTTCATGAAAATAACTCTTTAGACCAGTTCTATAAAATAAAATTTCCTGTACTGTTCTATGCTGTGCTGTCCAGTGTTCTTTGTGGCTATGGATTACTTGAAATGTGGCTAGTGTGATTGAGGAACTGAACTGTTTTTAATTTAAGTATCTCTATGTTGCTAGTGGGTGTCCTACTGGACAGCATAGTTCTAGACTATGAGAAGAAGGTACTTTATTTTAGATGACATTTGTGAAATGTCAAAAGATATTTAATAATACAATGAAATGTCACTCTTGTCTGGGCATGGTGGCTCATGCCTGTAATTCTAGGATTTTAGGAGGCTGAGGCAGGAGGATTGCTTGAGCCCAGGAGGTTGAGGCTGTACTGAGCTATAATCACACCACTGCACTCTAGCCTGGGCAACAGAGCAAGACTCCATCTCAAAGAAGAAGAAAAGAAATATCACTCTAACACTGGGGCCAGGCATGGTGGCTTATGCCTGTAATCTTAGCACTTTGGGAGGCTGAAGCTGGAGGATCGCTTAAGGCCAAAGTTTGAGACCCACATGGGCAGCACAGTGAGATTCAGTGTCTACAAAAAAATAAAAAAAATATTAGCTGAGTGTGGTGGAGTGCACCTGTTAACAAAGACTAACACTAACTTTGTTTTCTTGTAGAGCTCCCTTCCTTGCTCCCTATAGTTGATGTAGCTGAAGCTTTGCTGCATGTTAGAAATGGTGCCTGGTTCTTGTGTCTCTTGGTGGCCAATGTTCCTGATAGTTTTAATGAAGGTAAATATGGTTCTAATATGGGATATTGAGAAGATTTGCTTGGACATGTACAGGACCTATTTTGTTGACCTAAGAAGAAACATTAATGGGATTTTATTTGAGATTGTATCTTTTGAAAGTTTGTTAGTATTTATTAAGAAATAACGAGTTCACAAACTATTGAGTTTAAAGATCAGGCTGGACTTGGTGGCTCACGCCTGTAATCCCAGGCATGAGGCGGGATTTGGGAGGCCGAGGCGGGCAGATCACAAGGTCAGAAGTTTGAGACCAGCCTGGCCAATATAGTGAAACCCCATCTCTACTAAAAATACAAAAATTAGCCGGATGTGGTGGTGGGCGCCTGTAGTCCCAGCTACTACTGGGGAGGCTGAGGCAGAAGAATCGCTGGAACCCAGGAGGTAGAGGTTGCAGTGAGCCGAGATTGCACCACTGCACTCCAGCCTGGGCGACAGAGCGAGACTCCATCTCAAAAAAAAAAAAAACAAAACAGTGTAGCAAAGAAAAATTTTTTATGCCATTAGTCACCAATGCTGTAATACCACAATAAAAAATACCAAGGAACAGGGTCGGGCATGGTGGCTCGTGCCTGTAATCCCAGCACTTTGGGAGGCCGAGGCGGGTAGATCACAAGGTCGGGAGACCGAGACCATCCTGGCTAACACGATGAAACCCTGTCTCTACTGAAAAAAAATGCAAAAAATTAGCTGGGCATGGTGGCAGGCACCTGTAGTCCCAGCTACTCGGGAGGCTGAGGCAGGAGAATGGTGCGAACCCAGGAGGCAGAGGTTGCAGTGAGCTGAGATCGTGCCACTGCACTCCAGCCTGGGCGACAGAGTGAGACTCCGTCTTAAAAATAAAAAAAACAACCCAAGGAACTAGAAGATATAATATCTATAATCAGGGATCAAAGAAGAGACATGTATCTGTGAAATATCAAGAGAGCAATAGGGGATATGTATAATGAGAAATGCTAGGTTTCAGACCTTTCTTTTTTAGCCTTACTGCTGTCAGTTTGCAGAGAAGTATAAAGTAGAAATTGAGAAAAATCGACTAAATTTTTTCACCTCTATTTAATTTTTTTTTTGATAGTGTAATAGTTCCCTGACTTTTCTAAGAGATTTATTGAATATCAGATGATATGTAAAAGTTCTTTGTAAACTGTGTCCTTGCCGATTTTTTGTCAACTTATTCTATCAATTACTGAGAGAGGAGTTTTCATGTCTCTGGACATAATTGTAGATTTGCCTATTTCTTCGTTTTGTTCTGTCAGTTTTTTCTTCATGTATTTCGAAGCTCTTCTGTTGGGTTTGTATGCATTAGTATGATTATATCGTTATGATGAATTGAGCCTTTTTTTCATTATAAAATATACTTTTTTTCCCAAGTCAAATTTGATCGTCTTAGTTTTCACATTTATAGTTATATCCCCCTTTCTAAACATTATTTACATATTATTCAATTTGTTGTCACCTTTGTTTTAATTTTTCTTTTTTAAAAAATTCTAAGTTTTACTTTAGATTCATGGGGGTACATGTGCAGGTTTGTTACATGGGTATATTGTATGATACTGAGGTTTGGGGTTTGAATGATCCCGTCACCCAGGTTATGAGCATAGTACCCAATAGGTAGTTTCTCAGCCCTTGTCCCCTTTCTTCCTCCCCACCAGTATCCATTGTTCCCATCTTTATGTCCATATGTACCCAGTGTTTAGCTCCCACTTATAGTGAGAACATGTGGTATTTGGTTTTCTGTTTCTGTGTTAATTTGCTTAGGATGGGATGGCTTCCAGTTTTATCCTTGTTGCTGCAAAGGACATGATTTCATTCTTTTTAATGGCTGCATAGTATTTCATGGTATATATGTGCATTTTATTTAATCCATTGTTGATGGGCACCTAGGTTGATTCCATGTCTTTGCTATTGTGAATAGTATTGGGGTGAACATACAAGCGCATGTGTCTTTGGTAGAACAATTTGTTGTCCTTTGAGTATATATCCAGCAGTGAGATTGCTGGGTCGAATGGTAGTTCTGTTTTAAGTTCTTCGAGAAAACTCCAAACTGCTTTCCACAGTGGCTGAACTAATTTACATTCCCACCAACAATGTGTAAGTCTTCTCTTTTCTCCACAGCCTCGCTAGCACCTATTATTTTTTGACTTTTTTATAGCCATTGTCACTGGTGTGAGATGGCATTTCATGATGGTTTTGACTTGTGTTTCTCTGATGATTAGTGATATGCAGCATTTTTTTTCATGTTTTTTGGTTGCTTGTATGCCTTCTTTTGAGAAATATCTGTTAATGTCCTTTCCTCACTTTTAATGGGGTGGTGTTTTGCTTGTTGAATTGTTTATGTCCTTATAGGTTCTGTATGTTAGGCCTTTGTCAGATGCATTTTTGTGAATATTTTCTCCCATTCTGTAGATTGTTTGCTCTGTTGATAGTTTCTTTTGCAAGCAGAATATCTTTAATTTAAATAAGTCACACTTGTCAATTTTTGTTTTCATTGCAATTGCTTTTGAGGACTTAGTTACAGATTCTTTGCCAAGGCCAGTCCAGAATGGTATTTCCTAGCTTTTCTTCTAGGATTTTTATCGTTTGAGGTTTTACATCTAAATTTTTAATCCAACTTGAGTTAATTTTTGTATATGATAAAAGATAGGGGTCTAGTTTCATTCTTCTGCATATGGCTCGCCAGCTATCCCAACACCATTTGTTAAATAGGGAGTCCTTTCCCTGTTGCTTATTTTTGTCAACTTTGTTGAAGATCAGATTATTGTAGGTGTGTGGCTTTATTTCTGGGTTCTCTATTCTGTTGCATTGGTCTGTGTGTCTGTTTTTATTTTTTTATTTTTATTTTTATTTATTTTTTTATTTTTTGAGATGGAGTCTCACTCTGTTGCCCAGACTGGAGTGCAGGGGTGCGATCTTGGCTCACTGCAGCTCTGCCTGCCAGGTTCACGCCATTCTCCTGCCTCAGCCTCCTGAGTAGCTGGGACTAAAGGTGCCTACCACCACACCTGGCTAATTTTTTGTATTTTTAATAGAGACAGGGTTTCACTGTGTTAGCCAGGATGGTCTTGATCTCCTGACCTCATTATCCGCCTGCCTTGGCCTACCAAAGTGCTGAGATAACAGGTGTCAGCCACTGTGCCCAGCCTGTGTGTCTGTTTTTATACTAGTGCCATGTTGTTTTGTTTACTGTAGCCCTGTAGTATAGTTTGAAGTTAGGTAATGTGATGCTTCTGGCTTTGTTTTTTTTTTGTTAGGGTCGCTTTGGCTATTCAGGCTCTTTTTTGCTATATGAACTTTAGGATAGTTTTTTCTAATTTTGTGGAAAATCATGTTGGTAGTTTGATATGAAGAGTGTTGAATCTGTAGATTGCTTTGGGCAATATGGCCATTTTAAAGATACCGATTCTTCCAATCCATGAACTTGGAATGTTTTCCCATTTGTTTGTGTCATATACGATTTTTTTCTTTTTTTTTTTTTCTTGAGACAGAGTCTTGCTCTGTGGCCTAGGCTGGAGTGCAGTGGCGCGATCTCGGCTCACTGCAAGCTCGGCCTCCAGGGTTCATGCCATTCTTCTGCCTCAACCTCCGGAGTAGCTGGGACTACAGGCGCCGGCCACCCTGCCTGGCTAATTTTTTGTATTTTTTTTTAGTAGAGGCAGGATTTCAGTGTATTAGCCAGGATGGTCTCGATCTCCTGACCTCGTGATACACCCACCTAGGCCTCCCAAAGTGCTGGGATTACAGATGTGAACCACTGTGCCCAGTTTTTTTTTTGTTTGTTTTTGGAGACAGAGTTTCACTCTATTTCCCAGGCTGGAGTAAAGTGACGCGATCTCGGCTCTCTGCCTCCTCGGTTTAAGCGATTCTCCTGCATCAGCTTCCCAAGTACCTGGGATTACAGGCATGCGCCACCACGCCCGGCTTTTTTAAATTAATTAATTAATTTATTTATTTATTTGAGACGGAGTCTTGCTCTGTTGCCCATGCTGGATTGCCGTGGTGCAATCTTGGCTCACTGCAACACCTGCTTCCCGGGTTCAAGCGATTTTCCTGCCTCAGCCTCCCGAGTAGCTGGGACTACAGGGACCTGTCACCAAACCCGGCTAATTTTTTGTGTTTTTAGTAGAGATGGGGTTTCACTGTGTTAGCCAGGATGGTCTTGATCTCCTGACCTTGTGAACCTTGGCCTCCCAAAGTGCCGGGATTATAGGTGTGAGCCATCGCGCCTGGCTAATTTTTGTATTTTTAGTAGAGACAGGGTTTCACCATGTTTGGCCAGGCTGGTCTTGAACTCCTGACCTCAAGTGATCTGTCCGCCTCGGCCTCGCAGATTGTTGGGATTACAGGTATGAGCCACTGTGCTTGGCCTCTTTGTGGAGATTTTTAACCTCCAAAATATGCTTTTTTTTTTGAGATAGTGTCTCGCTCTGTCACGCAGGCTGATGTGCAGTGGTGCAGTCATGATTCACTGCAGCATTGATATCCCAGGCTCAAGTGATCCTTCCGCCTCAACCTCTTGAGTGGCTGGGACTACCAGCGCGTACCATTGCACCAGCTTATTTTTTTTTTTTTTTTTGAGACGGAGTCTCGCTGTGTTGGCCAGTCTGTGTGCGTGCAGTGGCGCGATCTCGGCTCACTGCAGTTCCGCCTCCGAGGTAGCGGGGATACAGGTTGCCACCGCCACACAGGTCCGGCTACATTTTTTATTATTTTTGTTAGAGCGGGGTTTCACCGTGTTAGCCAGGATGGTCTCGATCTCCTGACCTCATGATCCCACCCTTCACGGGCTTCCCAAAGTGGTTGGTTACGGCGTGAGCCACTGCGCCTGGCGTTGCCAGGTCTTTTTTGTATTTTCGGTGGATATGGGGTTTTGCATATTACCCTGCTGATCTAGG